CATTGTTTCTGTTCTGTCTTGTGTTGATACTTTTAATACCCTATTAATATCCCCTCATGTTCTGTCTTGTGTTAATGCCACATCACCCCTCCCACCTCACTCAAATGTAGATATAATAGCAGAGATACGTAAGTTCTAATCAGTTGTGTATTTGTGAAGTCTTTGAAAATGTAATAAGTTTTACGAAACGCGCCCGTGTCGCGTCAGACTAGAAATAAAAATGAATTTTGGAGAAGTGATTTTTTATTTACCTCCAACAGTGAAGCGTAATGTACGAAAGATTGAGAAAATTCGTGTTAGAATTATTAATCTTACTTTTTCGGTCATATTTAATAATATATGTCTACAGGAAAGACTGCTACCAAAATATATATATATATATATATATATATATATATATATATATTTGAAGATGGCATGTCAAACGCCTCGTCAGCTTGGTCGACGTCATACCTATGTACTTACATTGAAGGTTACATCCTTCGTGGGGGCAAGTGTACATGTATACAACGCTTGACTGCTGTAGAGGGTTCTCCGTCGGCTTCGGGCTGTTTTTGATAAGGAGTTCGGAAGTCTTCTTGGTTTTGTAGAATATTATCAGGTTTATGTTTTGGTTAGGAGTAGTGCTTTTTACTCCTTTACGGATTATTTCTTTCATTATTCTTTCCTCTTTTATATGTTCACTGTGCATGGTTGATTTGTAATATAATTTTATTGGGGGTGTTGTGGTTTCTGTTCTAGGTTCTGAATTATACCAACGGTCCAAGTGTCTTCTTATAGCAGCGTTTATTTCCGCGTTGCTATATCCGTTGTTCACCAATACCTGAGTTACTCTTTCAAACTCTCTACTCACGTTGCTCCATTCAGAGCAGTGAAATAAACAACGGATATAGCAACGCGGAAATAGAATATATATATATATATATATATATATATATATATATATATATATATATATACACACACACACACACACACCCTTTATCTCGACCACAAGCCCCAAAAGAGCACAATCAGGCCCACTGGGATAGCCTCACAATGGGAAAGACTGCCACAATAATGCTTGAAAGCGCATCTGCTGATACTATAGCCTGCCTCCTAGAGGTAACAGCACCCCAAACCAGGGATTTTTTATTTGCTGCAATACAAATAATTTGTCCAATGCAGGGCTGGGAACTCGCTTCAGTTATTCAACGCTCTTCGCATTGGAGCAACTCCAACTTGCCCTATTTACCCTCCAGTATGGCTGGTGATAGTTGAGGAATGTTAGGCTAGCCACCAGCACAGTGTGGGTGGTGATACACGTGTATGTACACTGTAGGGAGCCGGCAGGCATTCTTCCTGCGAGGGGGTGGACGAGGCGGCGCCGTGAGCGTCCATAAGCACCACGTGAGGCCCCACAAGCATGGTGATGGGGGGACACTGCAAGGCCATGGGCGGCGACACCTCCTCTTCGTGCCCAGGAAAATGTTATCTGGTATTCTGCAAGCGGGACTCACATATAACATATTATATGTAACATTATAACAAACGTTGAATTTGATGAGGCTAGGTTGGTGAAGCCATCCATGTTCAGCTAGTTTGGTTAGGTAAGACGGTGTAAAGGTCTGTATTATCGAGAGTTTCATTCATAGCCTTGCCCAGTGTCTACACCCACACTGTGTAATGTGTCGCTCCTCACACCACAACACCCACCACCTCACCTTAGTGCCCTACGTCAAGATTCTAACAACAATTTTGACATAACCGTAAGGAATTTAATGTTGAAATATCTGAATTGAATATTATCAAAGTGAAGCCTAGCTCTTAGTTTGAACATTATGGAGAGAGAGAGAGAGAGACAGTTTGAAGTGTTCCGTGTTTGCGGCATCTTTCATAATGCAGGTGATGTGTGGCCTTGTATGGTACTGTACCTGGAGGCTGACCTGCAGGTACAGTGGTATTCTCTTGAGCGCAGGCGGGACAGATACATAATAATTTACACATGGAAAAAATTTATTTATTTATTTATATATACAGGAGTTCTTACATTCTTGTACAGCCACTAGCACGCATAGCGTTTCGGGCAAGTCCATAAATTAATCCTAATTTTGACACACACATCCTCAGGAAACAGCCCGCAGCAGCTGTCTAACTCCCAGGTACATATTTACTGCTAGGTGAACAGGGACATCAGAGTGAAAGGACCTCTGCCCATTTGTTTCCGCCTCCGCCGGGGATCGAACCTTGACCCTTAGGACTATGAACCCAGAGTGCTGTCCACTCAGCTGTCAGGCCCCCCACTAGAGGGGGTATTAGAGGATTAGAGGAGATATTAGAGGGGCTGGTCCCAAACCTGCACACAGAAATAACACCACATGAGACCAGAAGGTATGGCAGGATGTGCAGAATACCCCCATTGAAGAACAGAGGTGCAATAGGTACTCTGAGAGATAACTCTATCAACATCAGAGGCCCCGAGACTGTTCAACACGCTTCCACTATACATAACTGGCCGACCTCTCACAGTGTTCAAGAGAGAACTGGATAAACACCTTGAAAGGATACCTGATCAACCAGGCTTTGATTTATACGCCAGGCTGCGAGCAGCCGCGTCCTACAGCCTGGTTGACCAGACCATCAAGATAGAGACGTGGTCAGAGACCGGGCCTCGGTGATCTTGAACCCCGAAGCCACCGCAAGGTAACTACAAGGTAAAGGTAAGGTAAGCCCGTCCTTCCTTTCCCAACGTCAAGAAAGTGTCGTACTAAAGTGCCCTTATCCTACCCTACCAGAGGAACTAAAACAGAAAACTGGACAGTATGTCAATTTCGCGAGCCGCTACCATTTTCTAGTACGACAAATTTTGCCTTTAGGTAAAGTATACGTCAAAATGCGACGTTTTATTACGAGGACGGGTTGGGGCCTACAGCTAGATCTGACACAGCACGTCCAGTGTGTGGGGGGTGGGTCCCTGCTGCAGGAGTGTGTGGGGGGTGGGTCCCTGCTGCAGGAGTGTGTGGGGGTGGGTCCCTGCTGCAGGAGTGTGTGGGGGGTGGGTCCCTGCTGCAGGAGTGTGTGGGGGTGGGTCCCTGCTGCAGGAGTGTGTGGGGGGTGGGTCCCTGCTGCAGGAGTGTGTGGGGGTGGGTCCCTGCTGCAGGAGTGTGTGGGGTGGGTCCCTGCTGCAGGAGTGTGTGGGGGTGGGTCCCTGCTGCAGGAGTGTGTGGGGGTGGGTCCCTGCTGCAGGAGTGTGTGGGGGTGGGTCCCTGCTGCAGGAGTGTGTGGGGGTGGGTCCCTGCTGCAGGAGTGTGTGGGGGTGGGTCCCTGCTACAGGAGTGTGTGGAGGTGGGTCCCTGCTGCAGGAGTGTGTGGGGGTGGGTCCCTGCTGCAGGAGTGTGTGGGGGGTGGGTCCCTGCTGCAGGAGTGTGTGGGGGTGGGTCCCTGCTGCAGGAGTGTGTGGGGTGGGTCCCTGCTGCAGGAGTGTGTGGGGGTGGGTCCCTGCTGCAGGAGTGTGTGGGGTGGGTCCCTGCTGCAGGAGTGTGTGGGGGTGGGTCCCTGCTGCAGGAGTGTGTGGGGTGGGTAACGGAGCATCTCAACACACATACATATACATTCAAGTTGTCTGTGTTGGCATTAAACCCACGTAGAGAAGGAGCCGCAGTCATGATGCCAGTGGACAGGCCTTAGACGTGTGTAAACCTGCATCCTGCCATAATAAATGCGGTACATTCTACGCGTGTTTCCCCTCCCTGGGCTCCAAACCAGGTTTCGATCTTGCCCTTATGACAGTCGCGTTCCAGCCTGTCTCTCTGCCTCTTCATCTACCGTAAGATTATGGTCCGTGTGTACATGATGACGGCTTCTTGCGTCATGAGCAGTAGGCAGGGCGGTGGGTGGGGCCAAGCTGGCCAGGCACTGCTGACGTGGCGGTGCACCTGCCTTCACTGTCGGGGGCACACTGAGCCATGAGGTACACATACCACCAGGACCACTGGCTCCTGTACCCTTGACGCATGCGCGCGCGTTCCTGCATATCAAACATTCACAGAAATACATTTATATCGGTAATAACAGAGAGGCTATTACGTAAACGTTTTTATTACCAAGTTACGCACGCTTCGCGCCGCTTTACTTAGTCGCTATTGATTTTACTATTGCACAAACACACTCATTTTCCCCCTAATTTGTTAACTATAAAGCTCATTAGGGATTGTGCTGATGATCCTAATGTAACTTGTTAGCTAAGCGCTGTTATCTTACATTAGCTCATTTGAAGCCTGTCCCTAGAAATTCATTTATTTGGAAATTGGGTGAGGCTACCCCCTAGTGTCTGATCACTAAACACATAGGGACCTGGGGCCAGATTCATGAAGCAGTTACGCAAGCACTTACGAACCTGTACATCTTTTCTCAATCTTTGGCGGCTTTGTTTACAATTATTAAACAGTTAATGAGCTCCAAAGCACCAGGAGGCTGTTTATAACAATAACAACAGTTGATTGGGAAGTTTACATGCATGTTAACTGTTTACTAAATGTAACCAAAGCCGCCAAAGATTGAGGAAAGATGTACACGTTCGTAAGTATTTGCGTAACTGCTTCGTGAATCTGGCCCCTGGGCGCGTGTCCAAAATGTCCAGTCAACTTTTCATGTGTACTTATAATCACTATAATAACAGTGGGTTATTATAGTGATTATAAGTGGGGTTATTATATATAACAGAGGGTTACTAGGGCAGGGCACGGTGTGGAGAGAATACCTATACTGCTTTAGAAACTATTTTATTATATTGCATATGGTAATGGGAATGAAGTTTGTCAATGTGAACACCAAGGAACTTCCCAGCTACTCTGCTCGTAATTTGGGTATTGTTAATTCTTAGGTTAATTTGATTGTTAACCTGGCCTCCCACATGAAGGAGTACCAACAGGACGTACTCAAGACGTAGTTCACAGTGTCATTAACATTCTCCTACATTAACATTGTGTGTGTGTGTGTGTGTAGGTCAGAATGATAATTACCGTGTGGGAGCGCCGGTAGCGGTTGTGCACTACCAAACTGCTCTTGCTTTTTCCCCTGCCCAATTCCTATGGTTAGGCCTACAGGAGTGTGGGACCATCTGTTTACATGGTGGACGGAGACGGTCCGAGTGACAGGTTCGAGGTGCGGGTGGACTGTCTGGTAAAGCCTGGGAATAAAGTCTTGTAAAGCCGTAAAGCAAGAGTAGCAATACTGGTAATAAAGCCACTATGATGTGTGGCTTTATATATATATATATACTGTGCAGGTGTTTGTAGTAGGAATACTTTTGTTATTTATCAAGTATAGGTTACGACTTACACAGTTAAGCTACACCATCAACACCCCCCCCCCCCATCACCACACTATTACCACACACACCTGCCTGTCTCCTCAAAGGCTGAGAACCGAGCCATGTGTGGCTGGTATACCCAGCGGAGATATGACTGGTATACCCAGTGGAGATATACCTGGCATAGGCCACTAGGCCGACTGCAGTAATCCTTTGTTAAGTTTGTTAATTAGAATACATATATTCGACTGCGATAAGCGAATTCACAGAACAGACCTTCATCAATTTAGCAATATAGTGAACTGCAGAAGGCCTATATAGGCCTATTAGGCCATGCAAGGCAGCGTATAACCCGTTGGGGGAGGCTAGGCTATATGTAGAAATATTATACACCCCCACTATACAAAAGTGGGGATACAAAATACAACTTCCACTTGTTGGACAATACAAGCTCTTCCACGTAACCCAACTGCTGGCTAAGGAGAACAAGAACAACTTGAAGGATAACATTTGAACATAAGAAATATCCTGGATATCAATGCTAACCGTCATCCCGTGATCCTGGGGTTATCCTGACTCCATCCTGTGATCCTGGGGTTATCCTGACTCCATCCTGTGATCCTGGGGTTATCCTGACTCGACAGTAGCAACCTTGAAGGTCGCTGGTAACCTCTGTAGTACAGTGTGTAATTACCTAAGTGTAGTTACAGGACGAGAGCTACGCTCGTGGTGTCCTGTCTTCCCAGCACTCTTTGTCATATAACGCTGTAAGCTGCTCCACGCAGCATATGCTTACATGACTCCTCTCGTAGCGCCGGGTGTGGCAGGTGTGTAGCGTCGGGTGTGGCTGGTGTGTAGCGTTGGGTGTGGCTGGTGTGTAGCGCCGGGTGTGGCAGGTGTGTAGCGCCGGGTGTGGCTGGTGTGTAGCGCCGGGTGTGGCAGGTGTGTAGCGTCGGGTGTGGCTGGTGTGTAGCGTCGGGTGTGGCTGGTGTGTGGCATGTGTGTAGCGCCGGGTGTGGCTGGTGTGTAGCGCCGGGTGTGGCTGGTGTGTAGCGCCGGGTGACAGGTGTTTATACAAATAATTTTTTTATATAAATAATTTATATTGATTATTAATGAACTTTCTCAAGATTGGATTAAAATTACATAGTATTTATTATTATTATTATTAATTAATAGATTATTGGATTCAAATAATAATTATTATAGATGATTTATTACTGGGGTTCCCACACATCTTAACAGATAACAGTTTTATGGAAAGATTAAGGTCACAGAAGCATGGAAATTGGCCAATTAAACAAACACTTAATTATCTTATCCAATCTGAGAACCCGAGTCTTGAGTGTGAACTGTTGCCAAACTCTTGATGACTTAGAGGCTCAGTATTTTGATGATTTAGACGACAACAACTTTGATGATGGATGATAACTGTGCCACCGTGGGCCTGGCTGTGGTGGTGGTGTGGGTGGCCCGCTCTCGTGGCTCTCTCTCTACACACATTAATATATATCAGTAATGGTTTATCTTGCCTATAGTTCAGCACCTCCCGGTGTATCTTAGGGAGCTATCATTGATATTAGATTATTATCTTTGTGCGGTGTTGAGCTTCTTAGAAGTCTCGATAAAGTGTGTTTGTAAGATCATTATAAATATGATTTAATGGTTATTGGTTGTACTTATAATATGGTTAAATTCTTAGTTAACATTTTGAAATGACGTTACGGGAAGTCAAGATTTTATTAGTTTAGCAATTTGATGATGGATTGAAACTGAAATAGAAATAAGTTTATTGAGGTAAAATACACACAAAGGGATGAGGTAGCTCAAGCTATTCTCACCCCGTTCAGCACATCGTGTTAATACATACATATACACACATCACAAACAATAAACATTTTACCAAACATTCTGAGAGATAAACATATACATTTCCTCCTTTACACAAGTAGTATGGTATCAGACGTACACATAAATACTTTTATGACCTAGGTATAATGTTTCAAGCATGGGTTGGACATGTATATGAGTGGGATTGGGTGGTTATAAATAGGAGCTGCCTCGTATGGGCCAATAGGCCTTCTGCAGCTGCCTTTGTTCTTATGTTCTTATACTGTATACACAATTTGCAAGAGACATGCAGATAATTCAACAAAAAATTACAGTCTTTGTGCAAAATTCTTATATCTCTCAAAAAGCAATTTGATGATGGATAATTCTTGAGTACGTGACTGGTCCCCTGTAGACATACATAGGCCTACGTGGCGTTAGGAGTGAAGTCATAGATGACTGATTTAGGATGTATATGTCGGAAGTACTTCTTATCATTGATTATATTATTGGTATGGTGGTATTGTTCACACCTTGTATGATGGTGTGGCACTCGTGGCCACACCTCTAGGAGCTCTTCAGCTCTAACAGGTGAGGGGCAACAGGTGAGGCCCTGAGCAATATAGTGTTACTCTCCTGTACTCACCTAGTTGTTCTTGCGGGGGTTGAGCTCTGGCTCTTTGGTCCCGCCTCTCAACTGTCAGTCAACTGGACACAACTACGCGCTTGTGTCTCCATAAGCAGTAGACTGTACAGTTAGACTCGTGATATCTAGTGGACCACAAGCTCGGGTATCAAGAAAAGTGAAGATATTTGTTATCTTGGTGAGCTGCTTTACCCAGACCGCCCTAAATGGTCTGCAGTAGATGACAGATACCCACTCGGTCCAATTCCACTTTTGCTATCATCTGAATGCCGTGTATCTCCTTATCTGGACCCCACCGTGCTCAAGTGATCGTATCTAAGATATGTATTTTTAAAGGGTAATCTCCTCAACCAGAACCGAGATCACCCCCCCCTTCCCATCTCCTTCCACCGCCGCCGCCGCCGCCTGTGGAAATGCCTCACATCCCACTGGAAGACATTAACACGGTGCCCACAGATCCAATGCACCTCCCATATGACACTCACCCAGAATATGGTGTAAAATGCATGAGATATTACCGTCGTGAAGTCAGGCGAGGAGTGAGGAAGACTGGAGCGCAGGTGAGGTAATACTGGCGGGTGGGGACGGTGGCGGGCAGCCAGGGGCTCCACGCCGCCCACCAGTCTCCCGGGAAACAGGCAACAGCAGCGCCAGGAAGACCCTCCGCCAGCGGTGCTGAAATAAGGAATGTGATGAGCTCTGTGTTGAGGGAGGGGTGGATGACCCTATTATATCCCCCCCCTCCCCCGCCCGCACCTGCCCCCCCCCCCCGCCCGCCCCCCATACACCGTTAAGGGCCTGACGGCTGTGTGGACAACGCTCGGTATTCGTAGTCCTAGGGTCCGATATCGATTCCCGGCGGAGGGGGAAACAAATAGGCAGTTTTTTCACCCCGATACCCCTGTTCACCTACCAGTAAATAGGTACCTGGGAGTTAGACAGCTCCAACAGGCTGTTTCTTGGGTGTCTGTGTGTAGGGGGGGGTGATCAGTTGATTGACAGTTGAGAGGCGGGACCAAAGAGCCAGAGCTCAACCCCTGCAAGCAGAATTAGGTGAGTACACACACACACACCTGTGAACAAGTCCTGAGTTGCGCTTGTTAATGTGGGAGGGAATTATCAGGGGAAAGCGCCAAGCCATTACGACTATATAGCACTGGAAAAGGGTTAACATAAGAATATGGGATGGGACGGGAGGGGGGGAGGAGGAATGGTGCCCATCACTTGGAGGGTCGGGGATTGAACGCCGACCTGCAGCAAGCGAGACCGTCCAGGCCAAGCGGTTGTGGTGGTGTAGTGTGGGAGGAAGTGGTGATGCCGTGGGCAGACCTTCACCTTGCTCCTACACTATTTTCCACCAGTCTTTAAACTACAACAACAATATAACTAAACACTTGAACCCTCGCTTTAAATAAACAAATTGATCTTATATATTTGTCTGAATGTCTGTGAGCAGCAGTGTGAGCAGGGAAGTGTAGTGCCTGTGTCTCACACTCCATTATAACTGGTTTATTATTTGCAGGTAGAGCGGTGACCTGGTCTGAGCGGTGACCTGGCCTGAGCGGTGACCTGGCCTGAGCGGTGACCTGGTCTGAGCGGTGACCTGGTCTGAGCGTTGACCTGGCCTGAGCGGTGACCTGGCCTGAGCGGTGACCTGGCCTGAGTACGCGGACGGTATAGTGACCATCACAACACCTTCACTACAGCAAGAGTGCCAGCGGTGGTCCTCAACAGTGCCCCGGGGTCACACCACACCCCAGGGGTCTTCCTCTGATAACTCCCTCTATACTTGTCCTCATTACCCCCCCCCTCGTGTCATATGTAGAGCGGTCACTCCTCCGTCCTCAGATAAGGCTGATAACGAGATAAGGGTCCTTGATGTAAATACCTTTGGGTAATTTACCGTGTGCCAGCGCAGTTTTTGAAAGGCCGCCCTGTCAGTCGGAGGCGAGGGTGACATTCCTGGACTAATATATATATATACATATATAAAGAGCAGGAAACTTATAAGTGATCGAGGTGAAATATAGGGAACAATTAGCAAGAATCTAATCAGTAAGTGGAACAGTAGGTGAGTGGGGTAGGAGGGGGCCGCCGCCAGGTGAAGGTGGCGAGAGGCTCTGGCCGGCCCAGGTGCTGATCTTGGAGACGCTGCCACCAACCTCTCTGGAAAGTGAATTGGAACTTACAAAAAATATCCAGTTGACCTTGGCGTTGTGGCGAGGTCCCACGTGGGCTGTGTACTGTCCCCTGAGGGTCGCGTCGACCTGTCGCCTCTGGCCGTCGACCTGTCGCCCCTGGTCGTGTTGGTCGACCTGTCGACCCTCGTTGTGTCGTCGGGATTGTTGGCGTGAGTGCCGCTAACGCACACACGCGCGCGCACTTGCGGGCGGGCCACCACCGCCTGCCTCAGCACCTGCTGGTAGTTTTTGCGGGGCCTGGCTGCCCCGGGTACCTGCCAAAGGTCACCCTCTTCATGACTCGTAAGATACCGAAGAAGTTCACCACAACTTTCTTAGCTAAACTAGATATATCTGGGCCACACCGCCCAGGCTTCCTGGCCCACAGGAAGATCAACAGTGCCCAAGATTAATAGCCAACCAGCTTCCACACGACCCCGACATCCCACCACAGACGACACTAGGTCACAGTGCCATCACAGACTCCCACTACAGCCCCCACTACAGCACCACTACAGCACCACCCCAGCCACCACCATGTCTGTGAGGTGGATGATTCCCCCGGGGGAGTCAGAGGAGGACGACCAGGACACAGACACGTTCTGTGGGCGGCAGTATGAGCAGACACTGGTGAGTACCTCTCTCACACTTCGTATGTTTCATAATAGTATGACAGACACAGTACTTAGCAGCTACCACAACTTTGCCCCAAGAGTGTAACACTTATATGCTCTGTTTACTATATTAACCTGCAATGTTAAATGGGATTCTTGTACTGTGATTTGTTGGGTTTATAATCACTAGATTTGTGCGCCTTTTGAAGGACTTGAAATAAAGGAGGGTAGAGATAGCCTAAGTTACTCTATCCCTTTGAGATGTATTTTCTTCTCTCAATAAACCCGCACTCTCTCTCTCAAGGGTCCTGGTGAGTACCTCCCCCCCCCCTCTCTCTCTCTCACATAAACTTCAGTTTAACTACCTAAACACTTTCCCTGTTTAGGTAGTACTTATAGTAACGATGTAGACCATAGTACATATACCGACGTACGACTCAGAAAGTAGAAATCGGAAATATTGAATTTGGACAAACTAGAGAAGTTTGTGTACTGATGTTGCCAAGAAAACTTAACCTAACCTAACCTGCCTAGGCCTAATTAATACATACTATGAGGCCTAGTATAGTACACTAGTATGTGCTATACTAGACTTAGGAATATTTATGATTGATTTCTAGCTTTATTTTTTTCGAAGTTTATAAAGTGATTTGTTCGAAATTCTACTACTATATAATTGTCCCTGAGGTCCAAGACTCCAGTGGTGGACACAGTTACAGAGACCACTGTCTAGCCACCAGGATGGGTTGGTCACTCTCACCACTTTGTTATTGTCATTCTCTTGCAATTATCAGTCCAATGATATTCTCATTCCATCTTTCCATTGTCATTATCATTCTCATTTCGTTGTCATTATCATTCTAATTCTTACATGTTTATATGCCTTTCTGAGCCTATTGGCAGTCATTTCCATAAGTGTAGAGTGATAGTTGACAGTCTGGTGTTTGGGGGGAGTGTTCCAGGCCGGCACCTCTTGTGATGTGAAGACAATTAAGAAAGTATTGGAACATGAGCGTGACTGTGAATGTTGCTGCCTCCCTCGTGCGTGGCAACACATAGTAATGCCAAACTCAAACAAGGAACACCTGCGAATTGTTGTAAATAACAGGAGGGAAGAAATTATTTTCACCGACGAAGCGACAAAGGGACACAGACCGCCTTATGCAAATTACTTCCACGGCTATGTGTCTTGGGTGTTTCCAGGAGAGTTCTAGCTACAGCAGGAGCTAATATTGACCCTTTGAGCTTCCCTTGAGAGCCTGACTCTCCCGAGGTCGTTGGCCAAACATTTCAGGAGCCTCGGGGATGTAGATCATAAGAGATGTTCAAGTATCATGGTCAGAGGTGATGAGTGATCATTCAGTTTGTTGTTGTTGGCGCCGCAGTGGCAGGTCTGCTCCATCACCCTGGTGACCAGGAAGTGTGTGTAAACAGCTCGGCTCTGGCCTCACACATTCATGGTCACATGCAACTAGTTCTTGAATGTCGTAAGCAGCAGGCAGCTCTTGAAGGTCACATGCAAGCAGGCCGAACGGGTCAAATGCACCGGTAGCTTACATTAACACACACACAAAAAAGGAAAAAAAGTAGCAAAAAGTAACGATGAATTGTCTTGCACTCGTTCGGATCGCGTGTGATTATGTATATGACAGTGTCAGACCACGAAGGAAGAACTGACACTGTCACATTTTTCATCGCGTGTTAATTTTCGTGATTTACACACACACACACACACACACACACACACACACACACACACACACACACACACACATATATATATATATATATATATATATATATATATATATATATATATATATATATATATATATATATATATATATATATATATATATATATATATATATATATATATTCAGCGGGCTCTGCCTCCACCTGAAGAACACAACATTTAATAATGGCATCATTGTTTGGCCATTTGTCAACGACTATTTATGACACCTCGCTGTAACACAACCTGTTACCTCTCGCACAACACTGTAATGTGTGTACGTGTGTACTCACCTAGTTGTGCTTGTGGGGGTTGAGCTCTGGCTCTTTGGTCCCGCCTCTCAACTGTCAATCAACTGGTGAACAGATTCTGGAGCCTATTAGGTTCTATCATATTTACATTTGAAACTGTGTATGGAATCTGCCTCCACCACATCACTGCCTAATGCATTGTATTTGTTAACTACTCTGACACTGAACAAAATCTTTCTAATGTCTCTGTGGTTCATTTGGGTACTCAGTTCCCACCTGTGTCCCCTTTGCCAGAGTAGAGTATGCGGCCGACGATATTCTATTTATATGAGCCTCTGAAGTTAGGTTTGGTGTTATGTTCACTCCCACGTCTTTCTCTAGACGTTATGGAGCGAAACCTTGCAACAAGAACACGCCCTATAACTAGATAAAAAGACCATTGAAACCTTGCAACTTGAGAAGATTCATCTGACCACAAATGTCATAACATTACCGCAAACACTCAAGCGTCAAGGCCGCCGGAGACTTATCAACTGGGCACCAAGTTATGTAACAATACCTGGGGAAAACATTGCAGACGAAGCTGCAAGACTTGCAACTAAGAGAAAACAAATGTAGACATTTACATACCACAGTCTATCAAAGATTAAGAAAGTACTAGTAATTAAAAATAGAGCAATGCAGAAGATGTAGAGTTACCACAACACAGCAGTTGCAACATCAGGATCTGCGGGTTGGTACAAGAACCAACTACGAACCACTTATGTTGATGAAAGGAAGCAGTAGAGCAACAGAAGTACACTTACATCGCATCAGGCTTGGATACCCATGTGCATGGGGGAATAGGCCTACAGGTTCCGGAAGATGAGAGGAAATGTCAACATTGCGGAGAAAT